TAAGCTGGTTTGTTTTTTTAAAAACTTTTATTTACCTGCCTAGAAAACACCTTCGTTGTAAAATGGCCACCTTTTTAGCCTTAAAGATGTTACCTAGACGGGTAATGAAACGTTTGCAAGAAAAGACCCAAGCTCAGAGAATCCCAAGGACTCCACAGTTCAACCTTGAGCTACACATATTCACCTCTATTGGTAGACCAGACTTAAACACCAAAGTCATGAATACTCAAACTACTTTGATTATAGGGTTACAGTGACAGAATCTTGCAATTCTTTATGTACCTTCCCACCCCCTGCCTTTATCCTAAAGAGAACTAGGGAGGGTCCAGTCTGAGACTCTCAAATTCCATTCCTGCTTTAAGATATCTCTCATCTGACCATTGCCTTGGTCCTCCTCTTCCCCAAGGTTATTCTCACAGCCCATCACGTCTGCTGCCTCCCAGCCAAGATTAAGAAGTGTGCTACCATGGGTTTGCCCCTATAACTTCAACTGATCTGGGGCATAACAGCAAATATTATGAGATAATGCATCAGTTTTAAAGGCATGTATTTCCACCATGTCTCAGAATGCAATCAATGTTTTTCATTATTAACAGTTAGCCAGGATAATGTCCTATGGTGTAATTGACCCTGTTCTGCTAAGCTATAGCTTGTTTCATTTTGGAGTAGCGTGTCGTATGAACCAGGCAACAGGGGCTTAACCATCGTTAACAGAATTATGTGGGCACCAGATGTTTGTGTGTGTTTTAAATTCCTTCAGGTTTCTACTACATTGGTGGTGGGTTTTTTTCCTTCCACTTTTTCACAAAAAAAAAATTGGTTGATGCATTTTTCTAATTTTTTCCTGCAGGATACTAAGGATGGCTTTATCGGTTTGAGAATTTGCAACACTGTGATCGAGTGCAAAAGTATTTTCCAGAAACTGTTTCTGCAAATAAATACTAGAAAGGGTCTTTTGCTTGACAAAATGTATTTTACTTAGAATCTATATTTTCCTTCCCTCTGTCTCTCTTTTTCTTTCATGCTGCAGGCGCCATCCTCCATTCTAGCTTCTGCCTGGCACAAACTGAAGTTACAATTCCTATTGAAGTGGAGCCTCCAAATCCAATGGAGAAGATGGAGGTTATATTGAAACCACCAGAACTCACAGATGATATTTTGTTCTGCACCTGGTACCGTGAGTCAACAGAGGGCGAATGGGTCGAAATCATGACGAGGGGGTTACAGCCTCCATTTGATGCGAACAAAACAGGACCAGCATACACTGGACGGGAAACCATCTACCCAGATTGCTCCCTTCACATCCAGAACTTAAGTTTAAGTGATGCTTCAAACTACAAGCTGAAAGAAACAGGAACTGGAGCTTCTTATATAGGAAATGTAAGCTTCACTGTCCAAGGTATGGCTTACTACCCCTTCTATTTTTTGTTTTTTGGGGGGGGGTGGCCATTCAGAGCCCCCGTACCATCACTCACGTGGAAGCACTGACTCATTGACTCAGCTGAAGATGAGGACTTCTGCTTTAGCATCAACCAGTCTTCATTATGAAAATATAAAACAATATCTATTGTAATATAGTTATAAAATGCAAAGACTTTCCACATTTGAACTATATCACCACAGCAAGCTGGATGGGGTTATATAATGCTAGTACAGATTATCTTGCTATTTTCTCTGTTGAATCCACTTTCTTTCAAGTTTACTGGCTCATTGCTTGGGAAGGTGAGGACTGTAATCCCATATATGTGAAACATGCCAGATGGAAGAAGGCTGACTTTTGCCTTTCAAACCGTTTTTACAGCATTATCTTCAAGGGCCAGCTTGCCACCTGACAAAGCTAGTTTCAGAAAGAAGACCTAGGCCTTCATAGTGATCTTTCTGGAATCAGGGATGATTGAGATGAAGAAGTGCCAAGATAGTAGAGATGGGAGGTCCACATGGGAGGAAGGTGGAATATGTAGCTATTTTAAAATCCCTATCAATACCATTTGTTCCCATGCAAAAGATATGGAACGAGCATCTAAGGATGCACAACTGTGTCCTGCCTTGAGGGCCACAGGTTGGGTGATATGCCAGGGTTGTGCTCCAAAATGTCATGAGTGGGACTAGGACGAAAATAAATATTATTCACTTGACTTTCAAATGTAATAAAATTATCCCCCAGTTATTACAAATAATTGCAGGTTACAATTTGGTAATCACTTTTGGAGTCTCTGAGAGCCTCACCTGAGATGTTTGAGGGTTGAATATAGACCTAAGGGCCAGATTTAGACATGATGAGGCTCTAAGCTGTGGGAAGTTGTAGAGGCTCTATTTGGCAAGTGCTAAAATTGTAACAAATGAAAAAGAATCTGAAATTTTAAGAGGCCCCTTCAGACACCTATGCATTTAGCTTATGCCTAAATCCAGCTCTGGCCTTAGGGCCTCAGGTTGTACATCTCACACTCTTGTTTCCACCACTGGACATAGTTTGGTGATAATAATAATAATCTCTCTTCTGTCTGCAGAGTTTCTGCCCAAGCCAGATGTGACAGTCTTTCCAAGCCCTTTCCTTGTGGAAAAAGCCTCCGTTCAGCTAGTCTGCCATACAACCATCACAAAAATTGTTCAGTGGCTTAAGAACGGAAAACCTGTCAGTGACGACGCCCATCTCACAGACCATAACCGGACACTCTCCATTCCGTCTGTAACCAGGAATGACACTGGGAGTTATGAGTGCTTTGTTTCCAATGGAATCAGCAATGTAACAAGTGATCCAGTATACCTCAGTGTGATCTGTGAGTATTTGGGGTCCAGCACCTCCAACTTGGCTTTGATCCTTCTCTCATGTTCTCCACTGCCTTGAGTCATCCTGTACCAACTGCATCCCTCAGTAGGTGTTTGAGGTAGGGCTGGACCTAGCTTGAGAGAAAGGACACCAGATTGCCTCGGGCAGCAGATGTCTGGTGTTCTATAAGAAAAAGAAGAGGTTGGGTTGTTATTTTGTGACTTTATTTTTACTACCAAGAAAGCAGGTAGACAAATGCAAGATTTTCTGCCTTGCACACCAAATGTATGTTGATTTGGGTAAAGGGAGGCAGACCAATGGATCATAGAAAAAAATAAATCGAGCCACAAATGACCATACTCAAATTATCATATTTGAGACACATTATGCAAAGACCTAGCTCTCTGGAGAAGATGAGGATATATGCTGGGGAAGGTAGAAGGGAAGAGAAGGAGAGGACAACCAGCAGCAAGGTTACAGTTACAGTGGTGATGGGTGTACTATTAAATGATTTGAAGGCCAGGTTGGGGATAGGTCATCCTGGAGAAAGTCTATCTACGTGGTTGCCAAGAGTTAAAACCAACTTGATGGACATAATCGATGAATCAATCTGAATGTGAGTCAGCCCAATGTCTTGATCCAACCCTGAAGTAAAAAAGCCCTTTTACTTTCTGCTGCTTACTTCTTGTTTCCTTGTATGGATCCTTCCCACTGCATTTCTTTTACCGTGAGATGAGATGCCATGCATCCAGGTATGTATTGCATGGCATCTAAAAAGCGGAGCCCCAATCCCACAAGAATGCTAAATCACTTCTAGGATGTCGCATTATTTCTGTAAGCTTTGGTGATCTCCTGAGATTTCGCTCATTTTAAATGTCATCTACAGAACCATTATTTGAATCGCGGGTTCTGTAGAGGAAATCTTACAATTCTTGTGACACATTGGATGTCCCCTCTCATAAGTAAAACAAACAAACAGATGGAGAATATACTCTTTGGAAAATAGCCTGGTCCTGGATTAAATTCTCCATAAAGAAACCAGTATTGTGAGAAAGAAAGAGGAAGGGAAAAGAAGGGAAAGGAGAAAAGGCTATGGATATGTGTGGTCTGCACAGAAGAACATTTCTCATAAAGAATTTATGTCTTTCGTAGAGGGTTTGTTTCCTTATTGCATCTGACTAATTTGTCACTGCCTTGACTCAAAATGGGTTTGAACCTATAACTGGGGAAAAGGACATCCAGGGGTGGGGGAACAACCTCTAAAAGTCAGAAGGAAGGGAATTCATGGCTGCTGGTAAATGTGGCGGAACAGCAGGCAACACCCAGCCTCTCTGAAGATGACCTGGGGAATGTGGGGGACAGGGCAGGGCGATCAGCCAGAACTAAATGACCAAGTGGGGCCCATCCCTGGTCCATAAAGAGAGGCCGCAGCGTCTTGTTGCCATTGCCCAGCATCAACTGCCTCACTCCGTCCAACGACAGGGCCGGCCCCAATGCAGACATAGCTGCAGTTCCCAAGGGAGTCCATTCTCGGCATTTTGGCTAAAATGACGGGGACAGGATGGTCAAAACGTATCTTGTCCATCAGGGATTTCATTGGTGAGGCAGCCCAGTCCAAAGGCCCACTGAGTCCTTAAAGACCAGGGCTTTCAAAACCCAAATGTGTGGGAGCCCCATATTTAAGAGACTGCTTACTCTTGCATGTGAATGCATTAAGGGTTCAGCCCGTTGTCAGAAAAGAGCCAGAGGGAGCTTTGATCTACCATAGCTATTCTTCTGAATGAGGACTCCCTCCTAGGATCATGACATGGATCTCATGAGCTTTACCAAGTTTTTTTTTTTTAAAGAAACACTTAACTGGCACAATCTTTTGGTGCACAATGTTTGCTTGACTTTATCTTTCAAACTCTGGTTTTATTATATTGAAGATATGTTTGAAGGGTGTTGCTGTACATCTTGTATATTTCAAGCAGGCAACAATCTCTCCTATTTTTAAAATTTAATTTCATTTGCTTCTATGAGCACTACAGCCCATATTATAGACACTACAGCCCATATTATAGACACTACAGCCCATATTATAGACACTACAGCCCATATTATAGAGAAGGGTGTTGCTGTACGTCTTGTATATTTCAAGCAGGCAACAATCTCTCCTATTTTTAAAATTTAATTTCATTTGCTTCTATGAGCACTACAGCCCATATTATAGACACAAGCATGTATGCACGTATGTAAAGATTGATTGATTGATTGATATTTCAAATTTGGACACTGCCCATCTCACAAGGAAGATAACCCCAAAATGGTAGTGGGTAGAAATGACCGGCTGTCCTGGATCTGAGAATTAAGAATGTGGAAGGTCATCCCGAGCTCAGTGTAGTGTGCCTGGATTTCATGGGACACTCCTTCTCAGTTCCTCCAATTGGCTGTTTCTGGATTTTTTTCATTTGAAATAATCATCCCTGTGCTTTATCTAATCTGTGAAAGGGTCTTTCAGACTAAAATAGCAGAGAGAAGGTATTCCATTCACATCCAAATTTACCTGTCTTATCTATTTCTCCCCAGATGGTCCAGATACACCTACGATCCGGCCAACTGAAATATGTTATGCAGAACACAGCGTCATTATCCTCTTCTGCTCAGCTGATTCATTTCCCCAGCCTCAGTATGTTTGGTTTCATAATAAAAAGCAGATAGAAACCGGGCCAACATTAGTCATTAAAGATTTCACTGAGGACAACACTGGGGAGTATACATGCGAAGCCAGAAATGAACTCCTTAACCTCCGAAAGAGAAGCGCTGTTCAAAAGCTTTACTTGGAGAAAAGTACGTACCTGCAGCGTGCTCAACGGTTGCTATCCATTGCCACCAATCTAGCCATCCATCTGTGGCTGACAGCCCTTCCACCAGCGTTGTCCCCCTGCCAAAGATTGGGTGGCTTTGCACTGCCAGCTCTCCTGGGAATGACCATAAAGACTAGTCACACAGGTCTATTTCTCAGGATGACTTTTACTTGTTTAATTTAGATCATTCTCCCTCCCAGCTCAACCCTCTGGCAAGAGCCACTTCTTATTTCATGGAATCTTCCAGGTCCCACCATTCATGATTTTCCTGGTGACCTAAGATGGACAAGTCATAGGGTGCATGTGGCCTTGGTCACTCCTGTGAAGTCCCCCAACACACAAGCACACACACATTTTTCAGTGAACTGGGAGAATTGTTGGCAATTGAGTTCCTTGAAAAACAAAAGAGGTAGAAAGATGCCAGCTGTTACTCCACACGGCACGCAGATTCTAACTGTCCAGCAACTTCTATGTGTGCCTCAAGGATGGGGAGAAGGTTGCCAGCTTTGGCCTTGATGCAAGAACTGCCAAATCAAAACTAAGTTCGCTTGGTCGAGCATCAGGATAGGCAATCAAATTGAAGAATCCCTCAGGTTGGCAACACTTGTGTCCATGTTAGCTCCCAGTCACTGATTTACCCATGTTACGGCCATTAGTCCTATCCTTTTCTGCAGTTTGCTTTTAATTTGTCACTCAAGGCCTCACTTTCCTGATGCGGCCTGCAGTATCATCTGCTCTTTTTCTCTCTCTGCAGGTTGTGTAAGCAACGTCACCATCACTGGTCCACCAGAGGCCATCGAGGGCCAGTCGATCATATTGCACTGCACAGCAAATGGTGACAGTGTTTCTTATTCTTGGACCAAAGGAAGCCACGAGGTGCATCCAGATGGCCGCATCTCTTTGACAAATAACAACCAAAACCTTGAGTTTAACCCATGTCACCGAAGTGATGCTGCTGACTATACATGCCATGCTTCCAACAGCTTCTCTTCCAATAAGAGTGACCCCTATCGCTTAGATATCATCTGTAAGTCTGATCTTCTCATCTTGGGTCATGGCATGCAGCCAGTGAATTATATGGTCAACTTAGCTCACTTTGCTTTTTCACCAACTCTGTCTTGCAATTCTGTTAAAAGATGGGAAACTTTTCATTCCTTTTTACTCTGGGATGTTGAAGAAACTAGGAGGAGGGTCAGCAACTAGTAGACCGGGGACTGATTTCAGGCCAGAAATAGAGGCTTCCCTACCTCACAAGCTTTCCAGTTATAAGATAAATGCATGGGCTACATTGTTTGTATACTTTTTGCCATCTCTCTCTATCCTTAAGTCTTCCAACCTTCATCCTTTGAACAGACTAAATTCTCAGCGTAGGGATTGTAGGAGTTGAAGTTTGCACTTCTAAATGGCCCAAGAAACAGATCATTTGTTAACCTACTGGCTACATTCAAATAATATGCTAGGCTGAGTTCATTTTAACTTTGGTTTGTTTTGGGGGGGTACAGTAGTTTAGCGTATTTTATGAACCCAGCCCATTTCTTAGTTTAGGGTTCATTGGTTAGTATAGAACCCAAAATCTGGGTTAATTTTGTTTTTCCAAGATTGGCCTTCTGGTTAGTCTAGGTCAGTGTTTTTCAAACTTGGCAACTTTAAGATGTGTGGACTTCAACTCCCAGAATTCCCTAGCCACAAGTTGCCAAGTTTGAAAAACACTGACCTAGACTAACCAGAAGGCCAATCTTGGAAAAACAAAATTAACCCAGGTTTAGGGTTCATTGGTTAGTATAGAACCCAAAATCTGGGTTAATTTTGTTTTTCCAAGATTGGCCTTCTGGTTAGTCTAGGTCAGTGTTTTTCAAACTTGGCAACTGCAAGATGTGTGGACTTCAACTCCCAGAATTCCCTAGCCACCCATGCTGGCTGGGGAATTCTGGGAGTTGAAGTCCACACATCTTGCAGTTGCCAAGTTTGAAAAACACTGGTCTAGGGGATATCCAGGGCAGTTCCTTCCAAAGACACATTAGACAAAATAAAATGAAAAAGTTCTCCATTGTAGTACTTCAGAAGATTGCAAGGGCATGATTTTAAAAAATGTTCTTCTGTACTTGAAAATAATATGCATGTTGTCGCAGATGGACCTGACCCTCCTATCATCAATGAGACAATTGACTTGCCACGGGCGCAACTCAATCTAACTTGCAAAGCTGCTGCCTTTCCTGACACAGAGAAAATATGGTTTTACAATGGGAACCCAGTTCCAGAAAGACCCACGATGCTCAGTCTAAATATCGTCAAAGAGAACTCTGGAAATTATACTTGTCGAGCGATAAATACCCTCTCGGGGGTGACACGCGAGACCACCCTGGAAATTGACATGATAGGTGAGTAGAAAGGAGGAAACGCCTGGTCAGTTGACAGAAAGATGGAGGAGTTCGTGTCTTGGGACTGAAGGTGTCTCCCCAAATGATGGTATCACAGAGTTGCTGATTGATAGAGATGGCTCACATGGGAGGAAGATAATAATATCTTTTATTACTCTTATAATAAAGGATAGTAATATAATAAAGTATAGTAGTATAATAAATACATTAAATATATAATATTTATATATTATTACCCCTATAATAAAGGATAGTAATATAATAAAGGACAGTAGTATAATAAAGGACAGTAATAATTACCCTTATAATATCCTTGGGGTCTCTTTTTCTCTCTTTAGGAAGGCTCAAAAGCTTAAAACGGAAATGAGGACCAGAAAGCCATTGAGGGTGCCGTAAGTATCGGTTTTAGAAAATATTCAGAAATCATTCATTTGCCCTCATTTCCCCAAGTGTTTTGATGTTCACAAGTATCCAGGCAGGGTGTCCAGGCCCCACAGCAGAAGTCTCCACAGAGTAGGGTGAAAACAGTCAAGATGGTGGCCACAACAGTGCAATGGAAGTTCCACCTGGCTTAATTTGTGTAGTGTGTGCAACGCACATAAAAAACCAAGGGAGCTTTGATCACACGGTTGGGGCCACCATCTTGACTTTTATATGATATCCTACAGACCCCCCCTGCCTCCCAGGGAGGAATCCACTTTCCAACTATTCTGTGTTTGTGTCAGTGAAATTCTTTCTCTATTGATCCTTTTCTGGGGAATTCCCACTATTTGTACACTTATTTTTCATGGAATATCCAGCAGTTTCTGTGCTTCCCGCCCCCCTCCCCCCCCCGGTGCCTTTTTGGTACTGATTTGGCTGACTTCACACCCCCATAAAGCAATCTCAGCATCTGCAGTGTGAACTTACAAAGCAATGTTGAATTTTGAATGGCCTGAGATAAACTTCTCTTCTACTGAGAGCCATAACTTCCTGTCCAGCACAATCGGTGCCTCAATTTCTGATTTCTTTGTCATTTCTTTCTTATAGAAGAAGTGACGCTCCTTTAAAAGAAAGGGGGAATGCCCCATTATTCCATGCTGTTTTCAAGTTTCAACTACTCCTCTTTTCCTTAATGGTAATCTTACTACAACTCAGGGTACTTAACATTTTTCAACCTCCCACCCGTAGTTAAAACCAAATGTCCAAAAGAGAACTTTCAAACAGTGCCCCAGAACCTGGAACAAAAATTGTGCCCTAATGATCAGATATCTTCTCTTTTAGGTTTCCATTCTGATTTCTGATGCAAGTTGATGCTTCATCTGCTCTTACATTATTTTAAGTTTTGAATTTTTGAAATCTACTTTGAAACCACCTTGTAGAGTCCTTTGGGGCTCACCCATGCAAGTATTAAACGCCGTAAATAAGTGTGTAAAACAAGTCTTTATAACTATGTATGACATGATAGGGGTTTTTTTCTCAAGGCATACTATTCTAATCATCCTAATGGCATTTTTAAAGATGGTTTCAATCATCGATCCTTTTCATTTCTACGTGGATCACCGCAGAATGGCTCTTCTTTAAGATTATAAAAATCGAGTATCACAATACCCAAGTATCATTTCCATTTCTCCAATGAAAGAATGTGTGCAGTTATTCAAATGTATTGAGAAGTACGGAAATTTGTATTCAATAAATCATTCCCTTTGACCTGTTGGCGTTGTGTCATGTTGTTGTTGTCAGCATCAAAGTACAATATGGTTGTTCTCTTGATTTCATGGTGTTGGGGGTCAGTCACGTACACCTTCATATTAGCTAGACTGCATCATAAAAGAAATCTTAACAGGATCAAAAACATGCCTATGGATTCCTGAAGGCCCAAACTCATGTTCTTCTGATATGGAAGCCTTTCCCAGTCTGGTCTCCTTTAGATGTCTTGGATTTTAACTCTACGGTCACAAAATTACAAATTACTGCTTGAAATTCCCATGAGCTGGTCCTTTCTTGCACCTTAAGAAAAAGCCCATTATGGCCTCATCTCCAAATATTGAGGCACAGTTCTAGGACTATTTGCAGGATGGAAGATCACCTAGAAAGAATTTTGCTGGCGCCCAGACAGAGTTGAATCACCCACCAGTTTGATAAGTTAGAACAGTATTTCTCAACCTTGGCAACTTTAAGATGCGTAGACTTCAACTCCCAGAACTCCCCAGCCAGCCTTGCTGGCTAGGGAATTCTGGGAGTTGAAGCCCACGCATCTTAAAGTTGCCATGGTTGAGAAACACTGAGTTAGAAGATTAGTAATATCTCTGTCCCAACATCATTCAATCTTCAGCAGATCACATCTGGCAAACCACATTGCTTTATTTATTATCTACTTCATGGATTACTTGACCACTTCCCATTGCTACAAATCTAGAATCCGTTTCCATTGAGAAGAAATACACAATACAAAGAATAAAGTAACTAAACATAATACAGAAGAACATGGCAGAGGCCATTTAGGGAGCGAGAGCAAAAGTAAAGGACAGCAATCAAACACAGACTAGTCCTATAAAGAAAGCTGAATGCAGAGGAAGGTCTTTAAGAGCGCTGCAAAGATGGGGGGAGCAGCCCA